ATCTGTTCTCTGGTTTCTTTTTTCTTTTTGAAAGAAAACAATGTAACTAACTAATCAGGACCTAGATGTCAGTATGGATGCAGAAATTCAAGTCGTGCGTGATGTGAAGGGAAATTTCCAAACTGGCAGAAGTGTGCAGTCTGAGACTGTTTGAAAGTCTGAGAAGTTTGAAATCTGCACCCAGTGAGAGTTGGTGAAGAGCAGAATCCATGTCAGAAAACAAGGAGGTTAGGAGAGCAGTAATGCACTAATATTAAATGAATCTAAAAGAGGGCTTTTGCCTCAAACACGCTCCTTCAGGCTGGGACTGAACCGCCCGTTCTTTCACCACTTTAGCGTTGGACAGCTGATTTGAGAATGTACCTTTCCAGTTATCATCATCATTAAATAATCAGTGTTTCTGTCAAATAAGCCTTTCTAATGTGTAATTGCACATTTTTCAGTACTTGAAGCACTCGAGCCGGAGCTGCAGGGCGTATTTTCCCGCCTTGTACGGCTTTCCGTCCATCACAGAGTCCACCATCTCCGAGTCCTCCACGATCACCGCCACCTCGCTGTCCCGCTTTCCCAGCATGCTCCGGTCGTTGATGTTGGCAGAACCTGAAGAAACAGAGGATCAAACCAGGCGTCAGGGGACAGAAGGCACCAGCAGGGGGCGCTGCAACACTGGATTTTAGACTGTTTATGTTTCTGCTGTTCAGGCTGTTTGCATCTCTCTCACAGCCAGTTTGAGCGTACTGGAGGTTTCTTCCTCCCCATTTTCACTTCACTTTATGTTAGAATCACATCCTAATCATAAGACCTGCAGCTAAACAAACACATTTCACTAAAACTACCACAAGACACTAAAAGACTTAATTACAATTAATTCAACAGGAGAGTTTTTTTAAATAAAAGTTTACTTTTACTTTCTTGTGCTAATTCAGCTTTTTAGGGAAATGTTTTTCTTTTAAACTTGTCTTTGTGGGTGTGGGCAAAATAAAAGCACCAACTTCCCATTTAAAAACAGAGAAAAACGCATTTATTCCTAAATTTACTTACGACGCAAACAGCAACAAAACAGTCAAGACATCAGCAACATATCCTGACAGTAGGATGCTGACACAGTTCAGTGGTTAAGAGTTACTACCAACTATCACCGAAGCTTAGAGATGATTCACAGAAAAAAGATCTTGAGATGAAGTTTGGAGATTGTTTGAAAGAGGAAGTTCTGCTCCCTCAGATTATCTCTTTATTCTTCTGTGGCCGAATATTTTTATTATTTTAACCATCACTTCCCCACATTGTCCACCAATATTTATAATACTGATGTCACCACACTATCAGATAATTCTGCCTTTGAAATCTACTGTCCTAACTCTCCTCCCCATCACCACCACATCCGTCAACGACTCTCAGATTATCCGTACACAGCACTCTGGGCCTTTCTTATGAAAACATCCGAGAAACTCAATCATTGCCTCCCAAATTAACCCATCAGAGTCTCATTTTATATCTCGATATATAAAAAAGTGGCTTTAGATGATGCCACTTGTGGCCACAAGTGGTGCCCTCCCACAGTGGGTTTAAAACCTGAACTAAAAACCTCGAGATTTTAATTTAAGCGCCTGAAACTTTCCACAGTAAGAAGGTAACATTTTTAAACAGCATCATTTAATATTAAAACAAACAAACAAAAATGTAATATCCTGCCTTTGGTTGTTTACATGAAATGATCCTGATGATTTTATAACACACAAACCCAGAAGTCAAATCTTTTTTTTTTTTTGCCTGTCTCATTTGGTTCTTTAGTCGTCAGAATTGTTGTCTGAAGACCAACAAGGATCCCCAATGGATTTATTTTGCCAAATGGATCATCATGGCATTGCCGTATTGGTCCATTTGACCTTAGTCGACAAGAAGTCAAATCTAAGGAATCGACTTCAGTAATTTCCTTAGATTCACTCATTTTTGTCTTTTACTTCAAACATTTATTTGCAAAAATAAGAAAACTTATTGTCTTTTACAGCTACTATGTCATGATATGCTAACAGTGATCAAATTAATGTATAAATTATACTATTTATTGTAAATTTATAAGGAAATTCTGTAATTCTGAATTAAATGATTAAAACTCTTATAGTAATTTCCAAATAAAACTAGAGTTGTGGAAGCACGCGTCTTTAAATGAACTTTTAAACCGAATAGATCATCAGCTTCCTGTAAAGCACTGCATCTTCCACTAATCTGCACAAAAGACAAGCTCTGATCAGAAACAGGTGTTTGATTTCATCTCTCCATCTTTGAAAACTGTCTTATCTTGTGGAAACTGAGTCGTGACTTTGTTTTGAACCATTTTTAAAAACATCTAAAATCTTCTGACACGTCTCCCTCTGCAGCTCTCATTTCTCGCTTCTCTATTATACATGTTCAGGGTGGAATTTAATTCCTATACTCAGTTGAAGCTGCTCACCGATGACGACGGTGTTGTCGTCCGCGATGAGCATCTTGCTGTGGACATAGATGAGCTCAGTGACGAGCTTCCCCTCCAGATCAGTGTGAGTCCTCAGACCAGCGATGGAGATGTAGTTTATCCAGTTATCTCCCACTGCAAGCAAACGCCACACAGTTACAATCACATCATTATGTTTT